CAACTGCGAACCCCACGAATGCAACCGCCGCTCCGACTCGACGGAAGCGGGGCCAGCACCGCGAGGAACGCTGGCGAAGGCTCCCTCCTCAAAGAGAGCCCTCCGGGAGCGAAGCGTATGCAGTGGCAGGCGCTCGCAATGCGGGCAGCCGGCCCCATCAAGAGCTGACTCTGCGTGCCTCGCTCCCAAGCAAACCACGCACAGGCTGTGTGTATCCCCACTCGTGATGTAACGTGGGCAGGGAGGAACACACAACCTATAACGTGGCTTGCACTCGCCCTTTGCATGCTTTGTCTTAGCGTGAGCCTTAGACATAGCTGCTTATTAGACTTTTTTCTCACAATTGACAGACAGCAATAAATATGACTGACACACATAGAGCGCTTCGCTGAATGACAGAAAGCTGACGCTGGCTCCGCTGCACGTGCTTTTATAGCTTCCTGGTCATGACGTCATCCGCCGTGACGTCCCGTTCAGCTATTGGACTGATTTCACATGTGATTCAGAGCGTGGGTCGCAGAAGGCGTTCCCCTAGCATTTTCGACGCAGCTCGAGTTCCTGAAGAGGAACTCCTTTTGAGATCTAATGTTGTGTTAAAGACACAAGTATGACTTTAAAAGAAGTGGTTTTATGGTCATAACCAGGTGTGTGAAACATCTGTTACGCCTCATTTCAAGGGGAAATTATGAGCAGCACTGAACTCTATGAAGCTTTTGGTCACGCATTGCTGGGGTATGAGGCCCAGCTGGAGAGCAGGGTTAGGTGGGAATTATGTAGGTTTAATGATGGCCCTTGTTCAACTGGATGGATGGAGATAAATGAGTTATGTGTAACAGCCTAAAATTGGAAGATAGACCTAAATGAGAACATGTGTAGTTTAGTAAGAACCCAAAATTATTTACATTATAATTTGTTACATTATAAACTGACTAATGGTGACGGTATGCATCTCCAAATTATCTACATGAATTAATCAGGTTAGCATGAGTCCCAAAAACAGAAAGAGATGTGTATTTAAAACTTCAAAATTTTAATTCCAGTTCTGCTAATAGTCAGATAAGACAGATGTTTTGGTTTAAAGCAGTTTATCATATGAAAATATGGGTATTAATAACTCACTATTACTGAGTGTAAGCTGTGCAGAATCATGTACAGTGCGTAATCTGCTTAAGTGTGATGCCTGATGAATCATTAAAGTTCAGTGATACTGACAGGTGTTTAGAAAGGACACAGCTTCATTTAAAAAAGGTGCAATTTATTTTATACAAATAGATGAAAAATGCATATACAAAAGATACAAAAATGTCTGAAACGTCAATAATGGCTGAATAAAGGAAAATGTCAAGATGAGACTGAATGAGATTCTTCTGAAATCTGCCATGTGAGATCATGCTGTGATGTACTAAATGCTTTGATGCGTATGGTGTCATTACTTTAGCATAAGACAACAACTGCAGAAAAAAACTAACACAGTGAACACAGTCTAATTGTTTAAGGTGGTGTGTGTGTGTCTAGCTTTCTTTAACAGATCAAACTATTTCTTAGTAGCATCTCGTGGGTGAGAAACAAATCAACTGTCAGATGTCAGTTTTGTAAAAACAGTGTCAAATTCAGCGGTCACTGGCCAGTGCCAGTGTGTAGAGAGCGCTGCCTACTGTGAGGGCAAAGTGATTGGCCATTCCTTTTCATTATTTATGTATGTATGTATGTATGTACGTATGTATGTATGTATTTACTTATGTATGTGCTTTTTTAAAATTGCTTCTGTGCACTATCACTGTTTTAATAGAAGTTTTTAACCAGTGCACTAGTCAAATTTATATCTGAAGACCCATTGTTTTCAGAAAAAAAAATATATATATATTACACTGTAAAAAAAAAATAAAAAATACAAGAATATAATAATAACTGTATAATGTATGCTTGAAAAAAAATGTTTACTATTGAAATTACATTAATTGGCCAGACTGCAGCGGAACATGAGGCACTATAATCACAAGAGCTGCAAGTACCTAATTTTTTTTTTTTTTAAATTGTCAAAACCTAAACAGGATTTAATTAAATTAACAAATTATCATTACCAATACATCATTTCTTTGCATTTTTATGTACAACAAATAGTGCACAGTTGTCATCAAACAAATAGTGCATCAGTTGCTTAAAAACTAAATAAATCCTTGTTTTTCTATCCATTTTCTACATCAAAACTTTGTGATCTTTTCTATAAAAAAAAAGTTAAAAGTTAAAGTTAAAACAGGTGCATTTTTTTACATTATTCCTTTTTTTTAAACAAAAATTACTAATATTATTTTTTATAGCTGGTGCGCTTAATTCAGTATTACACAGAATAAACTCAATTTGATACACAAATATGAAAAGTTTACAATCAGTTTCTCTCCACGCATTAATGAACCATATAAAATATATAAAAACACACAAGAACCACAAATTAAGTGAAAATATAAATATAACAATGTAAAATGTAATATAAAATGTAAATAAAACAAGCAAAAATAATAATAAAGAGAAAGCAAAGCAGGGGCACATTCCTTGTACGTCACTATAACATCCGAGATGAAATGTCACATCCAAGATGATATCATCGCGCTAATCAGGATCTGGCTAATTCGTTTCTTCGAACGCACATGTTGTTGATGATTAGTATAGCTGGATTGAGTTATCTGAGATAATTGCGTGTTCATGGGTTGGTTTAAAAAAGGCTATGTATCGATACTCGAAACCACGATCAGCAATGCAGCGATTGGCTGGCGGCAAGACAGCAACATAATGTCATCGTATAATAAAAAAAAACACCTGACGAAAAACTTGACAAATGTCTGTACTTTTATAAGGAAACAGCCAAGCGAACAAAGCTACATAAATGTTATAATAGATAAATGAAATGTGCACTGTTTTTATTTTATTTAAATTTTTTTACATGATTCCCAATTATTTATATTCACGATTTCTAATATTTGTACAGGCTTTACATTTTTATTTCAATGTGGTAATTAGCAATTAATTTAATTTTATATTTGAACAGATTTGTTACATGACAGCATTAACTGACTGTGTCTATAGTATTAAAGACTACACAACATTATTATACTATCTTTAAATTATTATTATTTTAAATTGTTGTCCCTGGATCAGTAGGATACTCTTGTAATAAAGTAGCAGTGGTAGCGGACAGATTTTAAGTATCAGTTCTGTTTAAAAAGATGCAATCTAATCCTGTTTACATGAAATAAGCCTGCTCCCGAGCAGCTTTAAGCTTACGGACCTGTTGCTATGACAGCAACTCCGGGATGAGCTTCGAAGAACCAAACAATTCAAGATCATGCCAAATTGTCAACAATCAAATCCAGCTAACTGAGTTAGCGATGTACGAAGAATAGGCCCCAGATGTGCTCTGGTGATGTTGAAGTGGATACATAGCATGTAAGGAGCTGGTAAAGATATTAAGCCATATTGCAACTAACATGTAAAAACCTAATTAAATTTTTGCTAAAACTTAATTGACATCCTGTGGTCTCACATAAAAAAAATCTTCATAAAAACAGGACTGAAAATTACACTCACCTAGCTATCTAAGAAGTGCATTCGCTTAACTTGTAAGTGCCACTCTGGGAACGATTTTAAATGTTTTAACATTTCCATGTATGTATTCTGTTCTGTTCTTTTTTATTTTTATTTTTTGGGAGGGGCTGGAGGGGAGTAATAATTAATGTCCCTACAATTATGATAGAAACAAAGAAATAATTAAACGAGGGCTTTTTTCCCCCAACGGTCCTGCCATCTTGCACACTTGCATGCCCACCGAATGTGAGCCATTGCGCCCCATTCTGTTCCCCCCTCAAACTTGATGGTTGTTGAACTTATTTTTAGTGTCATTTGATAAGCTTCCCTGCTTGCACTGAGACATCCCACTGACCCAGCCACTGGTCATTGTCTATACCACTTCCCGTCAAAGCCGGCACACTTTGTCAGATTTCGACTCGAATATCTATTTTGCATCTGAAGTAGCGTGTCGAAAGTGACTGGATCGTTCGAGCCTTTTTCTTCAGCTGCCGCCCCCTTCCTCCCCCACAGTGTTTCCACTGACACTGACATCATTCTCGATCGTCGTCATGACAGCGCGTTAAAGATATATATTGCTCGCTTTTCTGTGTGCAAGTGGAGGGGGGAGTGTGGCGTGGATCATTTCTGGAACAATATGAACAATACTCATCCGTCCATCGCCTCTTTCTGTTTGATCATCCTAGTATATCGAATGATGGCGTCACATTAGCACAACTGAGGAACTTCTTAATTTCTACAGAAAATGTCTAGAAAGGTCAAACCTCATACCAAAGATAAATCTCTAAAGTTGCCTTAAGATCAATCAAAGTTTGATATTCCTATGCCAAGAAAACTTGTGCACACCATTTTTGGACATCCAGTGGGTGGACAGCTGTCCTGATGTATGAAAACCTTTATCTGAGGGGCATGTTTCCAAACTGTGAAGGTCTATGCATTAGTGAGCACAGAACAGACTGCCAAATAAATGGGGAGAAAGCACCAGTCACCAGAAGTAAATCTGTCCCTCAAAACCTTGCTGGAGAGCTTTGGACACAGGGTGTCTCGCGGTGCAATAACGCTCTATTAATTTCTCTGCGCTGTCCTCGCATTGATAGAAAGGTGTCTTCGCAAACTAAAGGGCAAAGTCTTACTGCGTCTAATACCTTAGGGCATTCTGTCTACAATTTGTCATGCGTGTGTACTTCTCAGTGTTAAAATGACAAGATCTCCAGTCAAAGGAGCCCCGCTAGGCATCCGATGATAGTGGGCTTGGAGAGATTTTTGTGAAGAGACATTGCCAAGAGGCAAAGTACTTCTGCACTCCATGAGCCTACTGGGATTAGTTCTACTTCTCAGCCAACGGCAAAGAGTCTCATCTCATTCTGATATATATTTTTTTTTTTTTTTAAATAGCCTCCGTCTGTGTCCATAAGATTAGTTTGTTTTTTTCTCGCAGAAGGCCCAATATGGTCAGAACACGAAAAAGCCTTTACTGTGCATTAAAGCTAACCAGATCAGCTGCAAAATCAGACAGTTTTTTTTTTGTTAATCTATTTAGTCGTCCGCTTGCCATTCAGTAGCTTGAGAGATATCAAAATGATAAGTTTTGGAAAGCCAATACTTGTAAGAGCTGAAACAAGATACTCTAAAGTGACCAATGATAAGCTATGTCATCTCAAGGAAATTCCGCTTTTTTCTGTTGTTCCATCTGACTTACTTGGAAGTCAAAGTATTTCAGAGATGGGATGCTGTCGTCTGTTGATGCTGCACCCGATTGAAATTTATACAGCGTCCCTGGAAGAAAAAGAAAAGGACAGGAGAAGATTTGATTAATTAAGTGATTGGTTCGTTCATCCATTCTTAGTAATTCATGTTTTAGTATTATAATTAATATTACATTCATTCAATTATTAGAAACAACAACAACAACAACAATAAAAATTATTATTATTATTATTATCATTATTAACACATGCATGTTGTGCCTTTTTAAACACATAAGGGTGGCAAAGATGTTCCTTAAAAATAAATGTCTAAAATTAAAAATACATATTTAAAGGTGGAACTTTTAACCTTTATCCCCCCAAAAATGTATAATAGTCCTGTATGACATCAATAGTCCAGAAATCAATCAATCATGGCTTTTTCTCAAAATGGCTCTTACGTTACTGGTCCACAAATATTTAATTCCCGTTAAAATATTACAATACATAATAATAATGAAACTAAAATGAATGTGTACATAATATTAATGTATATAAATAACAACACATCATATCATGGTGGTAAATGTCCTTGGAAATGAAAATATAAAAATAATTTTAATAAAATGACTGATCAAATTTCCCTCATAAATAATAAGTGTATTATTATTATTATTATTATTATTATTATTATTATTATTATTATTATTATCATTACTTTCCAAAAGTATATGTTTTGAGTATTTCTGTTCAGAGATTTTAAATAATTTTTAAATAATCCTGAAAAATGTGGTTGTGGAAAAATGGTTGCTTGTGCTTTCATTATGGCACAGAGTGTCCATGTATCTCCCACTGCTCTTTAGTGTGTGCCATCAGCTGGAGAAACTGGGTACACTGGCAAAAAGAGGGAGCTCTCGCCTTGTGTATAACCACCATACACTCTCCCACACACACACACACACACAATTATGTGCAAGATTTATTAATGTTCTACTGAACCCAAGCATGTTTAACACTAAGAGCTAATATATTTGTATGATTGACATGTATGATTGATAACTAGTGTGTAACAACCAACAATGAAAAACTAACATCACCATCGCCTGCCCTAGTTTCAAGTCACAATTGGCATTAGATATTGGAAGAAACCCAGCATCTTCATGGACTATCCACGAATACGGGGCTTTACGTTGTCCCTGCATTGTAAGCCAAGCAAGGCGCACCCTCTGCGATAGATCTCACTCCGTCAACAAATAAGGCACATCAGATGCTGTTTTGGCCACCGTCGATTGTGTGGCTAAGTTTACTGGATTTTGCAGGCTTTAAAGCAGGAACTCTGAAAAGCTGTCCGCCTTCGCCACAAAGGCTGCGATGGGCTTTGCTGTAGGAGTCGACCAGGTGCAGAGCAATACGGTCATTCCCAAACCCATGGTCAGACCCATTTTAACTCTATCGCTCCCGGGCAAGAGCACTTGGCATTGGAAACTATATCTATGCAATGTCACACTGAGAAAGACAGAGCCCACCTGTGCCACGAGAATAGAAGGACCATGGGCTAGATACATTGGATAGGGTGTTGTGGGTACAGAGAGAGTATTTTTACTTGTTCTTCCCACTTGAGACTTGCAAAATGCAGTTGTCAAGAGGCGATAGAATCAAAATGTTACATTCCCCTTGTGTCTGAAATTTTTATATTGTATAAATAAAATTGTATTTCACACAAATGACTGTGATTTTGGGTTCACGTTTATAAAACGAGACTGACTGCAAGTTTTAGGGTGCATTCTTTGCACTAAATTGGTCAATATGCAGCACGAATAACAGCTCAATTATGATCCCATGAAGGCACAAATATCAAACAACATCAGTTGAAAGTTGCTGAATACATAAAAGCAGGAATAATTACACCACACAGAGTTTATTAAAAACTGGAAAGACACTTGATTGGACTGATCAAAGATTTCTCATGGTTTCATGCCATCTTTAAGAGATCACACCAGGCTCAGTTCATCAAGAGCTTCACCTCCGTGACCCCACACATATGCTACACCTATACAGATCAGTCAAACAGAGACAGCCTGTTGGGGGGCTAACATTACCCCTCCATCTCTGCTCTTTGGAGCACTCTCCGAGCCGCACCATTCTGATGGCCACAAGACTTCACAGAAAGATGTCTGCTGCTCTGATTAGCCGTGTGCTTGGGCACCTGTCCAAAGGAGGATTCTGCATGTGTTTTTGCATCTTATCTTCTGCTAGCCACTCTCTGGAACAGCTTGATTCCCCCAACCCTAGAACTCCCAGAGGAGCCGTCTTGCACTTTCTGTTCTTTAAAGGAGTGAGATCCAGGAATTGGGAATGGTAAAACTTGAAATGTAGCCCATGTCCTTCTCAGGACCATCTCATCCCATGCAAGGAAGATAATTTCATTTCCTCCAATAGATGTACTGTATAATACTATGTACAGTATTATATGGTCTTTACAATATTTGTCCATATAGCTGATTTCCTTACAAAGTAAAAGTGCAATATTATAATACATAAACATTTAAAATTGTAATAATATGTATATAATTTAAATGTTGTATTAAATTTTATATTTTTTACACTATTGTTAATAAGACAGTAAAATCAGTAAGACTTTTAAAAAAGTTTTTGAATGAAATTAATACTTTTATTCAGCAAGGATGCATTAAATTGGTCAACATTGACAGTAAAAACATTTATAATGTTACAAAAGTTTTCTATGTTAAATAAATGCTGTTACTTTGAAAGAACAGGTTTCAGGTTTTCAAAGAAACCTGAAAAAATGTAAAATATATTTCCACAAAATATTAAGCAGCACAACTGTTTGCAGCACCAAATCAGCATATTAGAATGATTAATTACATTTTAAAATATATTCGTTTTTAAAAATTGCTTAGACACTAAAAGTGGTACTTGAGTTCTACTCAGTGAAACTCTTCACTCATATACCTAATCTTTAGACCAAGTCTGCAAAACTACAAGCACATTACATGCTTTAAACTCAGTTTGCTATTGTAAAACAAACTTATTTTTTTGTGCAAAACTCCAAACACAGTTCTCTACATTACACACATCATTCAAAACTAGCAGCTCTTTTGTTTCATTTGGGAAACACTGCCATTTAAATGCCACACTCATTTACTGATGACCTACACCCAGTCATCACGTGTGAAAACACTTATACATAATTTGTTCACTTAGAAATCAAAACTCAGTGTTTTAAGAAAGAAATAATTTTTACCCCCTTGCATTTCTGTTTACATTGTATATATATATATATATATATAGAGAGAGGTTTTTTGCATCTTGAGAACGCATTTATTTGATTAAAAATACAGTAATATTATTGCAATATAAAATAGCTATTTTTATGTTAATTTATGTCAAATGTGACAAAAAATATTTCTGTGATGCGCAGCTGTATTTTCAGCATCATTACTCCAGTCTTCAGTGTCACATGATCTTCAGAAATCAGTATAATATGCTGCTCGAGAAACATTTCTGATTATTATCAATGCTGAAAACAGTCGTGCTGCACAATATTTTTGTTGAAACTGATGCATTTTATTTTTCAGGATTCACAGATGAATAGAAAGTTCAAAAGAACAGCATTTATTTGAAATAT